TTCAGGCAGCCAGAGGACACTGGATCACAGGGAAGAGTAATTTCCAGAGTGCCTGCCTTGCTGCAAGGCCCAGAGGTCAGCTCCCCGTTGAAGCAGCGCTCCTACACCTGTAATGGGCTCCCAGCCGCAGGTTCGAGCGGCCCAGCCTTCTCTTCCCTGTAGGTAACTGAAGATGTCGGGAAGATCCGTCTTAGTTTGCAGCTCCCTTGTCCCATACCAGAAAGCTTTCATTTGTTCTCCCACTCCCTAGCACACCATCGTGCACATATGGCTTCTGTTTTCGTAAGCCACAAAGAAAAGCGCGAGCAGCTGCCCATTGTCAACACAACTCCATCGTGCTGGGTTGATCAGCTTTCTGCCTTCTAGGTTATCGCTGATCCAGCATGGAGGAGGGGAGGAAAGAATGAGGGGCAGGTAGCCCTCAGTCTGTCATCAACTTGTGTGTCTGAGCAGGGTTTGTCAACCTCGGCACTCTGGATCTTTGGCCCACAGACCAGTTGAGCATCTCTTATGCCAAATGCTCGAGGCCAGAAATGTTTCAGACTTTCTCAGAGTTTGGAATATTTACATATGCAGAATGAGAAATCTTGGGCATGGGACCCAAATCTAAACACAAGACTCATTTATGTTTCAAATATGGGAGTGCTTCAAAAAGTTTGCAGAGAATTAGGTCTTTGGCACGGTGCGTGAGACTGAACTTGGAATGACCACACTCCATATCAGAATGCCTGGGTGTGAGTCCTGGCTCAGCTTGATTCCAGCTTCCTGTGGAGGCAGCAGGCAGGGATGACCCAGGGACTTGAGTCCCTAAGACCCATATGGGAGACCTGGAATGAGTTCCAGGCTTCTGGCTTCAGCCTAGCTGAGCTCTGCCTTTTGGGGGCGTTTGAGAAGTAAGCTAGTAGACAGAAACCTTGTCTCTGCCTTTCAACATTTTTAAAGATTCATGGCAAATGGAAGCAAAAACAATGTAGGTATAGAAAAATTTGGAAATGCATTGAAATGCTTATGAAAAGTAGGTATGAAAATGTTAAGCACAGACTTCAAAAATGCTTGATACACCAAAATGACTGCTGAATTCCATATTCACAAACTTTTGAAGTACTCCCACACATCTCAGGACGCACAGCCTGGAAGGCACTTTATATATTGCTTTTGTGCACCTGCATCTGCACTACAACCTGTCGCATGACGTCAGCGTGGGACTCTAGTGACATCACATCAGTGCTCAGGCAGTGTGGTTTTGCACCGCTGCGGATTTCTCCTGGGGTACTCACTCCGTAATTGTTGGGGTGAGGGATTACGCTTCTGCTTGGCAAGTTGTTAGCTTCAGGAGCGGAGGCCAGAAATCCTGCTTGTCAATAGCAGCTTCCACCAGACATTCCTTCAAACAGGGCCAGATGTTCCCAGCTTGGAGACACTGTTAGCACAACAGCAACTTTTTTTTTTAAAGTTAAAAATTCAGGTTCCATGGGAAAATCAGATATAAAATGTTAAGATTCACTTATTTTTATTGGAATGACAGATTTACAGAGGAGAGACAAAGATCTCTCACCCACTGGTTCACTTCCCAAGTGGCCACTATGGCCAGAACTGAGCCACTCCAAAGCAAGGAGCCAGGAGTTTCTTCCAGGTCTCCCACACAGGTACAGGGTCCCAAACCTTGGCTTGGGCCATCCTCCGCTGTGTTCCCAGGGCACAAGCATGGAGATGGATGGGAAATGGAGCAGCCAGGACACAAAACAGCACCCACGTGGCATCCCAGCCCATGAGGGCCCTAACATTTAAATGTTAAACAAGGGTCCACACCCTCTGCCTGTGCCTTGTGCTCATGGAATCCTGGTTCACAAATACCATTTAAAATTCTACTGGGATCATTAAAATGACAAAATGACTTTCTTCTATGCTTTCCTGAAACGTTAACTACCACCAAACAGCCCTTTGTCAGTAACTTGACCGACTTAGATTTTTTAGACATCACTTCTGTGTGATCTCTTTAGAAGCTGTGCTCGTGTGTGCATGGCCCATCTCTACACTCAGCTCAGTGACTTTTTACAATGAGTCTCGGGTTGGAGACAGACGTGGGAGACCAAAATACTTCTCCCTAACCACAGGAAGAGATTTTTTTTTTTTTACAATGTCTTTTAGCTGCGGATGCCCAGTGAGTGTACCTCACCCAGCGGGAAAGAAAACTCTTGCTACAATTGGGAAAGGACATTACTTGAGTTAAAACTTCATAAACTTCCTCTCAAACAATCTAACTTTTCTCTAAAATATTCACATGCCTTGACACTGAATCCCTGATACTTGAAACACATGTAAAATACCTTGTGATTTAAGTCAGATTTTACACGTAAGGTTCAAGTATTTGGTGGGATTAACTTGTTGGTAAAAGTTTGGGGGATTTTATTATTTAGCAGTAACCATTTTCATTGATGATCAGATTACCCTACCTGTATACACGTCTGTTTCAACGAAGCGTGCAAGTTCCAGGTGAGCCAGGATGAAAGCCTGCAGAGGGTGGAGATTTTAAGTTCTTTTTAAAACAAACGGCACGATTTGAGATGCAGCAGTACAAGTGGAGCTGCAGTGTAGCCAGTTATTCTCATGTGAGAAACATTTTAAAAGAAATAAAACAATCAACAGTGCCATGAAAGCCACTCACACTCTGAACTTGACACAGTTAGTGCCGCATTCAGTAGGTCTTAGAAGCAAGCACATTTTTATCACTCAGCTAACTTTGACTTGGCTGCACTGAGAGTCACTTAAGGAGGACACCGCTGTCCATATCCAACATACAACAAAAACACCATCACAGTAACTGCTAGATGCAGACAACACAGAAGGAAGGATGCTATGAAGGGATGGTAAAGTTTTAGGGTCCCTTTAAGTTTAATCAAAGCTTAAGCTTTCTGGAAAATGCCAGTTCCTATTACTGTTCAAAGACAAAGCTGGATTTCAGCAAGGGTGCCCTAAAGCAGAATCAAACTTTGCAATCAGATTTTATAGATAGATACCTGCTCGCTCATTTCTCCAGGAATAGAAATCCCACCAGGAAGCGTGGCTGAGCATGGGCTGCGGGGCTGCTCAGAGCCTAGAATCCTACATCTGTCACTCATAAGCTGTGAGTAAACTAGCAACCCTCTCACCCCAGCTTCCTGGTCTATACAGTAAGAATAGCAACAGCACCTGCTCCTAAGGTGACGTAAGGGTCAAGTGGAATGCTGCTTCTTGAATAGACAGCACACAAATAGCACACAGTAAAGATGTGGCTGATGTTTGCTGCTCTCTACATTCACATTACCTCTAATACAATAATCCCATCAAGTGTCATTATTCCCAGTTTATAAATGGAATGGGAACCTCAGGGAGACTTAAACTGGCCCAAGGTTGCCTCAGGGAATTCCCCTCCCATATCTATTGTAACAAAAGGTACATTTCTTTCTCAAGGAGACAAATGTATTGGCTCTAAGGCACTGTAAGTCTCAAGTTGGACACTCCTCTCCTGGGGGTGCCTGTTCCAGCTCTCAGCCCATGGATGAGATAGCACTAATATGGTTGGCGCAGAAGTCTAGAGTTCAAGCCTCAATGACCTTGAGCAAGTTATTCTAGCCTCCCATGCAGATTAGAAATAATATAGCCACCCTGCAGTGGCTGTGGACAGCTGGCTTCAGCATCCCCTTGAATACTGCAGGTCTCAGATCTGCTGCTACTCAAGTCCACCATGCACAGTGATGCAGTAGTGTCATGTAACCCAGACAGACTTCAAACTGTGTCTAGGTTAGTCAGAATGCCTAATGCACATCAACGCCAAGTAAGTAGGAGTTATACTATGTTGTACAGAGAATTGTGGCAAGGGACAAGAAATCTCTTCATGTTCAGTACAGTCTGCCCCCCTTACACACACGCCCAGTATTTTCAGTCCAGGTGGGCTGAATGCACAGATGTAGAGGACTGAGTATGAGCAAAGTGTTGCACTTATGACATTCAATCTTCCATTACCAACCGTTCTAGCTAATGCGTGCCACAAACAGGTGCTCTCAGAATCGTATAGTCAATAGCTGCAAACGGATGCCTCTTGTTCTCATCTGGGGGCCAGTCCAGTGTCCACTAACTCCAGGAGGCACACGTCCAGCTCCACCTTCCCATCGAGGTTCCACTAGAGGGCTACCTGCACACGTCACAGTACAAACACAGAAAGCAGAACGCACCAGAGGTCTACATCCCACATCTGTATTCAACACTGGCGCACAGAAGCCCGAGTCCAGTCCCATGCCAGGCCACGCTGACTGCACTTGTCTCCCTCAGCACGTGACGGAACATTCACTCTGCAAGTGGAGGAAGTGATTTTTCGCGCTGAGTTCCTCTCCACCGTGATTCCATCCTAACACAAGTTTTAAAGATCTCCAAAGTATGATTTAATGAGAATATCTAGATATCTTTTAAAAACCATGCTAGCCACAGCTCCACAAGCAATATCACAAAGCCGCAGAATGTTTCTTGTACAGTTTTTTCATTCATCACACTTCCTTCTGGTCATGTCATAACCTACTCAATTCTCAAATCTTTATCCATTCAGTATTTGTCACCAACACCAAAGTAATATTAAACCCCACCATTTTTTAACACTTTGCAGTACTGAGACCCTTCTCATCCTTACACCCTTTCAGTCCACTTTCTGAGAAAGTTCATATATAAAGGTGGCTCCCTGTGTTTCATCTGGGCTGTCTTCAAGTTCAAGTTGAGGTCATGACCATGAGCAGATCACTTCCCTTCTCTAATCTGCATGAAGAGGCAGCTGGCTTAGATGACCTGTAAGGCCTCAGAGTTCAAAAGTCAAATGTCCCCAACACGACCTCACTGGATCTCTCCGACACTCGGTTTCCTCCCTGTGCAACAAGGACGTTACTCCCACGTCAGCCTTTGCTGGCGTCTTTTCCATCGCCTGCCCATGCTACAGCCACATTTCACAGAGTTTTCCTTGCCCCTTCTCTCTGCAGACTGCAGACTGCTGTGGGATTACGTCTATCAGCTGCTTTCTGACAGCCGGTACGAAAACTTCATCCGATGGGAGGACAAAGAATCCAAAATATTCCGGATAGTGGATCCCAATGGACTGGCTCGACTGTGGGGAAACCACAAGGTAAAAGGGCACGAGAAGTGTGCTCTGCCGGACGCGTGCGAAAACGAAGCGCGTCTCCCTGCACTGAAGGATGACTAACTGTCCTGCCCGTCATTATTGAGCAGATTCCTCTCTGCGCCAACAATTAGATAGCTGCAAGGGGAAGGAAATAATTAAAGATGCCTCTTTCCATTTGTCACTCGGGCCAGGTTCCCGTGAACTCAGCACATCCTAGCTTGATGGGGCTACGTGATGAGTAACCCTCATTTCCACTCGCCTCGACCTGGCTCTGCTACCCCCGCTGTCATCAGGCGCTGGATGGCGAGGAAGTTCTGCGGGGCTCTGTGACTCAGAAGGGACCTTGGGGAAGTGTCACTTCTGCTCAGTTAGAAAACGCCCCTGTTCACAGAAGCCCATTCCAATGGGGAGAGCACTTAGAATCTAACCGCACAACACTTCCTTTCCAAGCTGGGAAGAGGGAAGAGAGGCGTAAACAGAGCCTTTTAGAGAAAGAAGGACCCATGTGTCCAGAAGTGAAACATGGGTAACCATGATCCAAACGACAGATAGGTGGATTGCCCGGGTTGGTGGGGTGGGGAGGGGGCACCATGGTGGCAGACCCCAGATGAGCAGAGAGGGCAAGGAAAGGAGTCAGCCAGGCCCACAGTGTGCTAAGAAGCCAGCCTGAGTGCTGGCCCCATGCAGGAGGACCCAATGCAGGCCAAATATGGCAAGGCCAGCCAACACTCCAGTGAGTGAGTCACTGAGAAAACTCCTGCCCTTCTTACACAGTGAACGAGCCCTGGGCCTTACAACCGCTGTATTCTTGCTGCCACAACAGGAATTTAACCCTCCCCCACCAAAATCCCTGCCTTAAGATGACAGAAATTCAAGACAGGAAGGAGAAATGCAAGAACTGCAAGGAGATACGTGTGTGGGTTCACAAGGTGAAGGACGACCCCAAGATCAGGGGCCCTGCAGAAAATGCCATGGGCATGGCCGAGGGCCACTGGGGAAGGAGAAGCAGGGCAGCCCGCTGCAGGATGTGCTGTCATAGCTGCAACACTGGAACCTTCACAAGAAGTGACTCACCTTAGGAGAAAACCATGGCCCCAGTGTGTGATGGCACAGGGAAGGACCTGGAAGGGTGCAGCTTAGCAGGTGAAGTCCCCTGGCTGGCAGGGCTACAGGGAGCAGCTCCAGGGTTTTATTTTAACAGCTCTGCCGGTGCCTTTTTGAGGTTCATTTCATTGTATCTTTGTGCTTTTTCCCTCTTCCTCCTTTGAACAAACAGAACAGAACAAACATGACCTATGAGAAAATGTCCAGAGCCCTGCGCCACTACTACAAACTCAACATTATCAGGAAGGAGCCAGGACAAAGGCTGCTGTTCAGGTAGCACTTTCCCTCCTTGCCTTCTTCTGGGAGGATTGTTTTCTTTAAGGGGGAGGTGGGAGACTGTTAAGATCTCTACCTGTCCATCTGATACCCAGAGACACATCACCCCTATAAACTAGTGTCAGGCACAGGTTTGTTAGGATTTCAAGGGGAAAAAAATTTCCTTGGATCTGTGCTGTCAGAACCAGAAAGCAGATAAACACAAGGTGACTCACCAGTCAAGTAATACGAACCGTGTCACCTGGCATAGCCCAGTGTAGCTAAAGGGAGCCATCACAGTAACCTTGCAGAACAGGGAATGAAACCTGAACTTGTATATTACCAATGGTCTGAACCCCTTCCTGAGCCAGTATTTGTCAACTGCAGATAATATCCCGTAGGAAATCATGAAACAGAAGTGCAGGTCAGCCACGTGAGTTGGAATAACACTGCAGACGCAGCTCATGCTGCCTGCGAGGTTCTGCAACAATGGGCAGAAAAGAAAAGCTATAGCCACTGGAAGGCGACAGGCTTCCAAGAATTTCAGCAAGACAATGGGTTGAACTAAGGAGGGGCAGGTAAGTCGTTTCCAAGGAAACAAGTCTTGGAGGCCAGACTACAGATGAAGGCTTCTTGGTATAAACCTGGATGTGTAGCCAACTCCAGTGTTCAACTGTGGGTAGCCTTTACAGGATCCTTAGGTGTCATGGGAAGGTAGATTTCAGAATGGACTGCCACCATAGCAACTCTTGGATAAGGAGGCAGAACATTAGGAGTGCACAAGACTTAGGAGGATTTCAGGTTAACATGAAAGTCAAGATATGCAGTAACACATGAGCCACGACTGATACAAGAATAAGGCCGACGGACTGGAGTGCAGGGGTTCTGTTGATGAACAGCTTCCAAAACCCAAAAGTAGCAATGATAGGGGACCCCAGGACACCGGGCCCTTGTCAGCTTTTGGAGTGAGGCAAGGAAGCGTGAGGCTGGAAATGGCCCGTGTGGTACAAGGCAGAGAGGATGGGGAAAGAAAAGAGGTGCGGGCACAAGACACAGCCAGGCTACCTTCCTGAACCTTACAAACCTTCTTGTGACATATTACTGCTGTGTTTCCCAAGTGAACCAGTTGAACAGGCAGATAAGGCTTGCCCCACACTAAGCCTTAATTGTTGAGTGGATAAGGGATAACCAGAGAGATCTAATTTTCCAAAAGCTCTACTAAATCGACCTGACATCCAAACTTTGGCATTTGATGTCCAATTGTGTCTTTTAAGAGTTTAGGTTTTGAATACCATTCCCTAGGCTCATGTCTGGAATGGCAATGCACGGATAGCTCCTGCGGTCTTCGTAAAATAAGCACAGAGCAGTGGGCAGCTTCATCAGGCCTTGTCCTAAATCATGCACCACGCAGTGTCACCGAGTACTGGCTAGTTCGTACTCACTCTGGGTTTTTTTAATCATTTCACCCCTTTTTGGTTGATGAAGGAATGCTTTTTCCATGATTTGTGCTATTTTAGCGGCCATGTCTTGGTTCAGTAGCTCCTCAGATGTATAAGGGACTTCACAAAGTCTAGGAGACAAAAAAAAAAAAAATTCAATGCAAAGACATGTTGAAATCCTCGTTTTCCATAACATGCACTGTGGTCAGAGATATTCAGCAGCCCACACCTGGCTTCGCCATAAAGCCCGTTTGAGGCATTATTATGCATGACCCTTTCGGTTATGGCCATGATGCCGTTAGAGTTCAGGATGAAGACACCTGCAGGACAAGGTAGGTTCTTTACTCTTTCATCTCCTCTTCCCAAGGTTTATGAAGACCCCGGATGAAATAATGAGTGGCCGAACAGACCGGCTGGAACACCTTGAATCCCAGGAATTAGATGAACAAATATACCAAGAAGATGAGTGCTGAAGGGACGTATGCCACCCCACCTCAGCGGGCCAGCAGCTGGGGGGAGGGGCCTTTGCCCAAGTAGGACTGCCGCCAGCCTGACGCAGCAGGCAAGCTGAAGAGGTGGCAAAGGGAGAGACCCAGAAATGGCGGGGACGCTCCTCTTGCAGACCAAGAGGGACCCCATTGCACCTTAGACAAACCACCCAGCAGAGGCGGGGCTGGGACGCCAGCCTGGGACTCCATGTTGTCACACGTCTCCTTCTCGTTTGCAACCTCTCCCTCTGGAATTCCTTCCCACCCCTTTCCACCATTTGTTAGTTTCATGGTGTTTGTTTTTTTTTTTTAACATTCAATTTGATTTTTCATCATTCATACAGGGGAAGACATCTGATGTTTTCCTATGGAAATATATAACTATTATGTATGTATATCTTTTTTTCAAGTCTCACGAAATAGAAAACCCAACTGGTCAGGGAAGAAGTATTTGCACACAGGTGCAGAAATGCGGAACAGGTGTGTTGCTCTTACAGTTGGGTCTTGGTTGAGGGAAAAAGAAAAACAGTTTTCACAGAAGATCATGTGAAAAGGAGAGCTTTCTCCCAGCTTTTCCTTCTTCCCCTGGCTCCCCATCCTCCCAGTCTCTGCCCACTGGTGAGCTTCAGACATTGAGTCTTGAGGGCTTGTTGGCACTGAATAAGTCCAGGGCCTTGACTCTGCCCAGCAGCACAAAGTCCCACCTGAAGGATGCTACTGGAGTCTAGAAGGAGAAATGCTACTGGGGCAGTCGTCCCTGGGACGGTTGTGAAAACCACACAGCCCAGAAGACTGGGGAACAAGGCTGGCCAACATACTTGGGAAGCAGGCCGACAGCTCGAGATGAGCTTGCAAGTGCTGCAAGGCAGAAACCAGGCTGAAGGATTCTGTAGGTTGAGGCAAGTGAGAAAGAAAGTGCCCCTTGGGTGCAATTCCAGGAGCCATCTTGTGCTCAGCTTCTTCCCCTCACCTGATGCTTTCTTCCTGGTGCTTCACCTTATCAAAAGTTTTCTGGCTCCTTCTCAACAGAGACACAAGAGGGGAGGATCCCTGGAGCACAGAGTCACTGCAACCGGAGCCTGCCCACCACTGGGCTGATGGGAAAGCCCAAGGTGCACTGTGCTTTCCTCCACGATGGCTGTTTCAGAAAGGACCCATCTGTGGCTCTCTGCCCCCCAAAATAAGGTCGATTGTCTTAAAAATCATGACAGTGCCACTACTTAGTTCTTTTGATACACATTTTTTAAAAACTGTTTTAGGCTTTTGTTTTCTTTAACCATCTACCTTGACTCTGCCAGCGTAGGTTCAGACAGATGGTATGTGGACTCCCAGGCTTTCTTTAATCCAGAAGTTTAGACTGGCCTCACAAAGCTCCCTGTCTTCGTACCCCTCCATTTTCCTCCCATTCAGCTGAGCGAGCATCTTCCAGCTCCTCGAAGTCCTCATGGGCAGTTCGCATGTGATGCTGCCAGACCTGCAGACTTCTCCATCAGCCATCTGTTAGCTGAGTCAAGTGCAGAGAGCTGGAGGCACATGGGACGTGGCCCATGGGGGGGCCAGCACATGCACACTGGTTCAGACACTGGAATGGAGCATCCCATCAAGGCTCTTCCATCTTGTTCTGCTCCATTTCCTATCAGGCCACACAGAGGCATGCAGAAGTGGCCAGTCCACTCCTACAGTCACATGCTCTGCCATTCTCCCTTCTGGCAGGTCAGAGACCATTCTGTGTGAGGCCGAGGAGTCTCCTTGGGAAAGCTGTAGTCTTGTTCCACTTGAGTGGTCGTGGTGTGAGTCAGGTGGAGCCCGGTGTTACCCTGATGTCTGAGCAGGATGGAGTTGCATGTTTCCCAGCCTCTACAGTAACAGATATTCTATCTCCAAATGAAGAGATGAAGCCAAGTCCTTGGTGTGTTGGCAAAGCCCTAGAGTGTAAGGGCTGGAGAGGGAGATTTTTCTCAGATCCTTTGTGTGGTTATGAAATCAGCCCAGGGCACAGGAGCACTCCTCCCTGAGATGTCACTTTTCTGGCCACCTGACCCAAGTATGAAAACCCCAGTATCCTCCCTTCCCCACTGTCCTCCCCTTCCCTTCCCCACCCCAATCTCCTGTTACTGCATTATGGAGAGAAATTCCCTTTGATGCAAGTGTCCTATGAGAACATGTCAGACTTGGGATGACATCATGAGCTACTTGAAGAAAAATACAAGAGATGCTGGAACTCCACTGGAATGTGCAGTGAGAGCTGGCTAGACAAGCTACATCGAAAGGAACCCAAGGCTACGTGCCTTGGGTTAAGACAGCAGCACCAAAGTTTGGTTGGCTGCCTGCAGACAAAGAGGAGCAACTGACCACCGGGTGTTCTCTCTGCAACAGTTTGTCTGGAAGCTTAAGATCCATTGTCTTTTCACTGACACCTTGTCCATATGAGAATGTCACTTCAGCTAAAATTGAAATTTCTATGATAGATTTTATTGTAAGGACTAACAAGCCACCACTCTGTCCACCTTTCGCAGCCTTACATTGCAATTCTCCAGTACCTTTTTGAAACAGTAACTCCCTTGTTACCAAAGGGAAACCTGAGTCTCAGGGAGGGAACATGACCTGCCCCAGGAGTGGACAGAGCATATCAGACAGGATTAGGATTGAGCTCCAGCCTGGCCATACCCCTAACCCCCACCTGTGACTCACCCCCTTCCAAGGAAACTAAGGATGAAAGATCTGGGGAAAAATACACCAGAACAAAGGGTACTTTTCTGTGCCCAGGCATTCGGTGCTAATCAGAAGCTGTGCACTAACTCCAGCCTGCTTCTCCTCTAAGGAGAAACCTAGAATAAAGGGAGTGAGACAAGGAGGCTGGGTGTGGAGCCGCGGGGGAAGACCCAGTAATCCCCGCCTGCCTCCAAAACCACGGAAGACTCACCTGATCCCCTTGGCCGTCTGGATCAACACTAAACAACTGCAAACTCCCAAAATCTTTCATGCACGCCATGTAAACATTCTTAAAGGTTTTCTCTTGTGTGACTACAGCCACCTACAAACCAGAATGAATCTAGAATTTTTTTTGATGCTGTTGTTTTCTTTAGTTTCTAATCTCTTATTGTTTATGAGGTGTGGGGTTTATAAGGGACTGAATCAAATGAATGTAACAAAAAAGAAAAAACAAAAAAAAAATGCCTTTTCTCAGGGCCAGTGAGTTGCAAATAATTTTTAAAGAAAAGCCTATAATTACATCATCTCAATAAATTTTTTTTTATAAAAAAAAAAAGCATGAAGTCTCGAGTCTGGTTTTAATCACAGGAACTGGAGCCAGTCAGGCAAGGTGCACCGATGAGGTAAGGGCTGTCTCCACTCAATTACGGCAGAAAGTGCAGGCATGGTTTTGCCCTGGCAGGAAGCAAGCCTTCCTTACAGGATAGTCTGCGGGCAATCTGTAGACGGGTGGCACCAGGAAGGACAGTGCCAACCAGGCAAAACTCAGGAGTTGCCACAGGTGGAAGAACTGGCCAAAACAACCCCAGTTAGAGAGGGCCAAGTGGGATGCTGTGCTAAAATGTATGCATTTAGAAGGGGATATGCCAAAGAGCGAAGAATCCCAGGTTCTCACACCTTGGAATTGTTCCTTCAGTCTGGAATTGGATTGGGCATTCAGATGCAGTGGAGTAACTGCCTGCTTGGGATACCCCCCGTGCCCTGTCTTGGTGCTGATTCAAGTCCTGGCTACTCTGCTTGCAACCCAGCTCCCAGCCAATGCACCTGGGCAGCAGCAGGTAGCATCTTAAGTGTGAGATCTGGAGTTCCAGGCTCCTGGAATCATGCCTCAGCCTGGCTGTTGAGGCCATCTGCGGAGTGAATCAATGGTAGAACATTTAAAATTTTATTTTGGAGCTGAGGATTGTCCATATTTGTGGACTCATGTGATGTCCCGATAAAAAATTCCTGATTCTTTAGAAAAATGTGTATAGTCATTATCTATAGTCAACCTACTGGAGAGCAAGGTCAGAACTTCCTAGTGCCATCTAACTACAACTCAGGACCCAATACATACCATTTCTGCAAACACTCCCAACCCCTTGCTCTCTGCAGCCTCGAAGTTATATCAACTGATGAATCAAATAAAAGCAGTGGATTAAACATTGACATCAGCCCCCACATTATCTAGCTGCTTGCTAATATACCTGGGAAAGCAGCAGAGGACGGTCCAAGCTCTGACCCGTACACATCCATATGGGAGACCTGAACAAAACTCCATGTTCCTGGCTTCAGCCTGATCTAGACCAGGCACTGCAGCCATCTGCAGAGTGAACCACAGGATAGAGAGGATACAGGTGGTGGAATCTAACTCTGCCTTTCACAAACATGAATACATTAAGAATGTGGCCTGGGGTCCAGTATGATGGCTCAACAGCTTCATTGTCATCGTGCAAGCACCTGGATCTCATATGGGGACTGGTTCATGTCCTGGCTGTTCCATTTCCCATCCAGCTCCCTGCTTGTACCCTGAGGAAGCAGTAAAGGATGGTTCAAAGCCTTGGAACAATGCACCTGTGTGGGAGACCCGAAGAAGCTCCCAGCTCCTGGCTTCAGATCAGCTCAGCGCTGGCCATTGTGGCCATATGGGGAGTGAACCAGTGGATGAGAGATCTTTATCTCCTTTTCTCCATAAATCTGATCTGCCTTTCCAATAAAAATGAATACGTTTTTCTGTTAAAATGTGGCCTGATATTCTTTATCACCTGAACACAAAGACCTTAGTCATTCCTGTCATGCTACCTACATCATGCAATTCATGCTGTTTACAGGGGACATCTTCAAGAGCCACATGTAAGAATCAAACACACGGTAGAAAAATAGGCTAGTGCAAAAGTAAAACATTAAGAGAACATTATTACGGTGGAAGAATCACTACCGACAATCTGCACCTCGCCTCATCCACAGGTCTCCTGTCCTCAGGAGCCCTGGGAGTCCGAATGAACCCCAACTCTCCCAGGAGACATCTAAACTACCAACACCCCAAAAGCAACACCCCCACACACACACACAGTTCTGATGACTACCGGCCAGTGTCAGGTGGCTTCAGACAGTGGCCCAGACTGTGACCTGGGACATGCAGCACTAGCTTGGTACCGACACTTAAGGTTGCAGACTCTGAGAGCATGACATCAAAGTCATGTGAACACGTGCATTGTTCTCCAAGTTGTATGTGGCCCAGGGCTCAGGAGCAAAGGAGGAAGAAACACCTGCAAAGTAGGGAGGGTCCAGGGTTTAGCCTCTCAATGGAGTGGCCAGATTTAGTTCAGCCCCAGCTCCCTGCCAACGCAGCCCCCCGCAAAGCCCCTGTCACATGGCTGTGTGGGATAGAGTTCCTGGCTCCAGGCCTCAGCCCATCTACCTGTCAGCTAAAATGCTTCAATTTTAAATAAGAAGGGACAGGGAGGATAAAAGAAAAAGGAAGAAAACAGGAAAGAAGGGGAGGGTGAGGAAGTGGGTTGAGGAAGGGAAAGAAAGAATAGAGACTTGACTCTCATCAGCCAGCTGGGCACCCAAGGAGGGAGAGAATATATTGCATCCTTGAACCATTGTTCTTTAATTAACACATTTACTTGGGGGTAAAAATGATTTTCTACTCAAAAAACAGTATGATTTTTCTTATGTACAGACTAAAAAATTTATTACTTGCACTTAACATCTACCCATTTTTGTCTTATCTCTATCTTAAATGAGTCATCTTCCTCTTTGTAACTAAACAGTGTCAATATTAAAGATGGAGACATCTATATACCCCTTATGTGCCTACTGCCATGAAAACCATCCTCAAAATGTGCCTTAGTATTTTTTTTTGTCATGCTGGCATAACACTTCACTGTTCTGCAGCTTCATGTTCCATCTTTTTCTGCATTTCTGAACTACACCGCCTCTTGGGAAGCCTGAGAAATGTTTTAAAACGAGATAATCCAATCACTCACTCCTACTGAGAAGTGCATGCTGACCATGAGGTCTCAGGATTTCTGTCTCCTCCAGCTACCGGCAAAGCAACATTAGACAGTAGGGTTTGCGACCAGTGGGGATGGCCTGTGATCTCAACATGGCACTTGCTACGTGGAGCAAAATAACAGAGAGAATGCAGGACTTATACTAAAGGACTGGTTTGGTTCATCTCAGAATTGTGTCTTCCTTGGGCTTCAACAACTTTCATTCTGCCAGTTTCATCAGGCATTCTGTCCAGAGATCCCGTATCTAGTGTAGTCTCTTCTGCTTGGGTATACCTTCCGTAGACTGTTGTCCAGCCCTGCCACTGGGACAACCAATGACAGCATATAGAGTAGAATAGTTAGGCAAGTTCAATCCACAGTCAGACCCTGGATCCAACTTCACACCTCCTTTCCCTTGCTCTCTGACCTCAAACTATGAAAAACGCCGCCTCTTATGCCTTGGGGTCTTCAAATGGGACCCTGGATGCTGCTGCTGATCATAGCATGCATCTTGGAAAGATGCTGCGAGGAATGAATGAGTCCCTACCCAGGAAGGGCTTAGGGTAGCATGCAGCACGAGGAATGCTGTGTTCCCCTGCATCTCCTGCTGAGCCACCAACTGATGCTGGGCTCCAGAGTCTGCATCTTATTTCTGCACACTGGGATTCCCCCAAAGCACCTCCTGAAGCAAGTTGCCACTGTTTGGGTCTGTGTTTTTGTTTGATCAGCCTAGAATGACTTCACACTCCCTTGTTTCAGAGGCCTGGGCACACAGGGGGCTACCCAGAGGCCTCCCACATAGGGGGTTTTCTGAGTCCAGGCAACCACCTGCCTCGCTCACAGGAACACCCTCCCGCCCACCAACGAGTCCAAGTTTCTTTGCATCTAAGAGCACCTTAGTACTCAGTGGTGTTTGTTTTGTGGCAATGGACTCAACCCAAGGGAAATAGTGGTTTCATTTAGGTTTACTGAGAATATTTTGACCCGTTCTTGTTCCAGTTCAATAGCTTTATGAAATGTATAGGTTTCATTCTCTTTGTGATGTGTCTGCTCCTGTGATGTGTTCATTTTGTTTTCCCCTTTTCATGAAAGTTCTGCCTCAGCTGTCCAACACAAGTTACCTGAGCTCAGGGGGCAGGGGGAGGGAGGGACTAGGAAGTTAGACATCACTTTTTAGTGTTTAGAAATGCTTTGTTAGCAGGTAAAATCTGTACATCATTAGGGGGTCCCATGCAATGCTTCAACAGCAGCATAGTGTGAACTGATCAAATCAGACAGCCTCCCTACCTCTCCACTCTTCCTCTGTGCTTGATGCCTAGCCATTGTCCCTTCTTTCAGTCCCAACATTCCAAGGTATAGAGACAGGAATCTTCTATCTGCTGGTTCAGTTCCCAAATATCTGTAATGGCCAAGACTAGGCCAGGCTGAATTCAATCCAAGTTTTCCACATAGGACTCAGCCACTTGAGCCAACCTGCTGCCTCTTCGGGTGTGCATTGGCAAGAGGCTGGAGTCAGGTTTGAGTCCTGACTCCACCCCTAAGCACTCTAACATGACATGAGAATCTCCCAACAGACCAAACCCTAGCACTAACTGGCCTGTTCTACCCTATGTATTATTTTAAAGCATGGTTTCTTACTAAATTTTTTAGGAGAGGGAAATACTGACTTTCTATTCACTAGGTGGTTGTTTGATTCCACTATTTTGAAAATGGCTAAACTACTTTATGTTGATGCACAAGGTCAACAAACTTTGTATGGAAACAGCTGGTTGGTAAATATTTTAGTTTGCAAGTCTTATTCTCTTAAGTTTTAGTCCATATGAGCTAGTGCTATTAGGTATATATCAATTCATTTTTAAAATTTTAATTGACAGTGGGACATACAGGCCCACTGGTTCAGTCCCCAGGGATTGGGTCAGACTGAAGCCAGGAGCGAGGAAGGAATGCACTCTGGATCTCCCACATAAGTGGGAGTTGAAAGGAGCCATCCCCTGCCACCCCACACCTTCACCCAAGTGTGCATTGGCAGGAAGCTAGTGTATGGAGTACAGCCAGGACTCAAACCCAGGCATTCTCACATGGGATATGGGCATCCAAGCATCGTCTTAGCCACTGTGCAAGTGCCCACCCTCTAAGCAGCATAGAATGCTCGACTGAACTGCAGTCACTCCTCTGGGACAACAGCACTTCTGACTTCTGTTTCGGTGACCTATTTCC